TACGCCTTCTAGAGAACTTCGCAATCTTGTACATAGTACAGTATTGAACCCGGAGTCTATGAAAACCCATTTACACAGGTTTTCACGTTTATGAAAATTTTAAAACGGCAGTGACAAATTTTTTCACAGTGACACAATTTGCTTGGAGTTTCTAGCGCAATCCCAGAGTAATGTAGAGCGAACGGTGATTCGTTTTATAGTGTAAATCTAAGTTGAAGCCAGCTTTACAAAGGATACCGAAAGTTGTTTGAAACACTTCAATTTAAGCGAGTTAACAATCAAAGAGTAAGCACACATCTTTTTGGGACGCTCTGTATAAGGTGCGTCTTATATCTCGAGAAATAGGGTACTTTATCGCAACCACTGTGTAGCCTAGCAATAGATGTGAGGAAATGCGCAGTAACTTTTTGTTTTAAGAAAGTGCGATTCGTGTATTTGTTTGCTGCAATCTCTTCTATGCCTAAATTCCGATAATACTCAAGTGAAAAATTGCGTACAAGTACTGAGTATGCGTTTTCTACGAGATTTACTCGGATATCCTTCGACAAAAAAAACAAAAATACTGCCGAAATGAGTTGAACGAAAATTCAAAGACATAATGTAAGTTTTTGAACTGATCACTCGTCATTTGTATTAGGTTGTAAAGAAAGTTCCCGGGCACTTGTGGAAATTTAATTTTCAAAACGCATTTTTTTGGCGCTCGTTCGAACTTTGACGCCAAGTTTTTATACTATTCAGTGGAGGGAATCCTGAAACTTTCAATACGCCTTCTGACTTTTATCGATGCCAAGACATGCTTGATCTTCACATCAAGAAGGGAAATCTCAACCACAAAAATTTCACAGTTTTTCTTTTTACGGCCATTTTTTTGTGCAGTTCAAAGAATTTCGTCCAAATCATGGGTGATCTGATTGCAAAGCCTGTAAACTTCTTATTTGCAACTGCACTCGAGTTTTGCGATTTGCGCTTAGAAATTACAAGCTGTCGAACCTGCCTCTGACTGCAACTCTTTTCACAGCTGGCGTGATTCTATGGGGATCGCCACGCCTGGATGATGGGTCCGAAAGATATGCAAGGCATTACCCCACCAATGTTGCCAGTAATCAAAGATTTGGTCCTTTCTGCGCAGCACTAGAACACTTCAAAGTCATTTACTCGAAAAACGGTGCATTTTTGGGGGCAAAAAATGGTTGATTTTCCAAATTTTTTGGGAAAAACTTTTTTGCAGCTGGTCCTTTAAAAACATGAATGGTCCCCATAACAGACCCAGCAGACCTCTATATAACTACAGCATCTGGGCTTTCCAGCTCTCATCCTGCCTGAGGTATCCAAATAGGCCACTTTTCGCAACGACCTTTTTCCCTTCTGCGCATGTCGGTGGACCGCAGTGAGGTGCTAAGAAGCCAGCAAGATAAATATATGTTGTGGACAAAATTGTCTTTGCAATGAAGTTTGTAGCTTGAAAAAAGTATCAATCTGCTTGAAGTTACAGCGATTTGAAAAAATTTTTCGCTGCCCGGGAACTTTTTTTACAACTTAATAATTTGGCGAATTTCACTGACGGGCTCATGTGGTCGATAGAGGGGTTGCATGGCTACATCCCTCAATACTTTCTTCTCATAAGTATTATTCAGAGGGATAAGAAACCTCATCAGGTGTTTATTGTGGTAGCTGCCATGGACGCGCCCAAACTCTAAACGCTCAAGTTCTTTTCTTTCGTCTTGTAATTGTCTGAAAGGTCAAACTTTTGAAGAGGCAATTTACAGTGTGTGTTTCACTGATTTGGAAGCTTACAATTATAATCTAATGAAGCTGCTCCTAGATGGGATAATGGATTTTTGCTATTATGATTGTGTGTATGCACAATCATAATAGCAAAAATCAAAATCAAAATATACACACATCAAAGTTGTTTTTGAGAAACTTTGTTGTTGAGACTTCTCTGTTCTACCTCACGCTATATACAACGTGAACATTACCCTCTCATTAGAGTTAGTTCAACTGGCTTATTGATAAGAAGGTAATTTTTGCTTATGCTGGTCTTAATTAGTCAAAAAAGACTGTGTAGTTTTGAGAAGGTGTTTGTCGACAAATATGCCTTTCAACTGTTTTTCTGTCGCAGTAAAGTGTGAGTTTTGTGGAAAGGTTTGGAGTCTACAGTGGGTGCAATTATATCCATGGTTTAAGCAAGATGAACATGGGCATAAAGTGGAGGTGGTTCAAAGGAGCGTATCGATCAGCTGTTACTGATTGAGAGAAGCAGGAAAAAAGTCCGAAATTATTTTGTCCTGTTCGGTTGCCCCTACGTAATTCTCCGCTACACTTTCCTGATATACGCTTTCGGTGTCTGATTCTGCTTGTGGAGAATAACCTAGTCTGGTATTAACGAATTGTGCGGATCTTGACATGCACTTTGTAGAAAGTAGCGCAGCAAGCTATCCAACGCTGGATGACAAAATCTACGCTGATTTTATTTAGAAAACCCCGACTAAAAATCATTTTACACTCACTTAGCTGCTATACTCCGCATTCATGAGACTTAGTCGCAAGTAGCCCTATGTGCAAGCCCCTCTGGAAGTGCCATCTCATGCTTTTCACCAACCTCTAGATATACTTGTCTCCCAGCGGCGGTCGCATGATTTCCGTCTCAGGAAGAGGGGGGGGGAGTCGACAGAACTTTTTTGAATGAGGTGCGTGGCGTTCGCCCGCACTTCGAGAAACCCATTAAATTTCAGGTCCATAAAATCTAAAGAAGGAGGCGTGACCATAGCCATGCCCCGAAAAATTTTACAGGGCTAAATTGGTTTTTTGTTTGATTTCAAAAATCACTTTAATCATTTACAAACATGAACAAGTTGCATGCACACTTTCAATTCCTCAAACGTTCACAGCTTCAACTCCAAAAGAGATTTGATTACAAAGCGGTGTAACAAGATCAAAAACAGGTCTCACTCTGTTTGCTTGCATCATAATGCTCACTGAGTTGACTCTAAACACTAGCTTTGGTGCAGTTTCCTGACAGGGGCTTGTACATATATGAGAAGCCTTTTTCACAAATATTGTCGAATTTTTTAGAGTTTCACACGAAAACACTGACAGTCAAAGCGAATCAACTTGCAAAATGATGCGAACAAGCAAGTAGCTATATTTTCGAACTTCACATTTTCTTAATGGTGTTTCTTCTCTTCGTTTCTCATTTTAATACATATTCTAATTATTTGTGAGACTTCTTGAAAATTAGTTCAGCTGTTGATCATTTAATATCTCTGCAACAGGATTGGGGAGTCAAGTGAATTTAATTACAATTTCAATATATGGCATGACTTGACACTGTTATGACATGCGCCTGCGCGAGAATGAAAAGTAAACTTGACCCATAGGTCTATGTAAATAAGGAAGAAAAGTGAATATTTAGAAATCTTATGAGAATCGAGCAGGCCTGGATTTTTCAATTTTGTACCGAGAGTAAATGTATTACTTGGTCAATTCTTTGATCATAAGGTAAATATGATATATGCAGTAATATCGTTAATGCGGTTTCAACAAGTTTCTTTTTTATGATTTGTAATCATAAAAATATTTCATATAAATTATAGAATTAAACGATTTTGATTGCTAAACAAGTCACTAAATCTTCTGAATATCAGTCTAACAATAAGTTCCGGAAATTTTTGCTCAGTTAAGCAAAATCATTGGGAGTAGAAGCAGAATATGTAATTTTCGCGGTTGTTTTCGCCTGTGAAGGATCTGCATGCATTGCGAAAGTGTATTTGTGCACTTCGATTCACATAATCTTGACTTAGCCAGAGAAAGAAAAAATCATTTATTTCTATTTTTCCAAGCTACTTTGACTTGAAATTTGCATCCTACTGCTTCACTACCGTTTTTGCAGCAGTTTTACCAAAATTCTCTTTTTGTTTCATACGGTAAATCCACTATGATGAGCTCACACGACAATGATTTCAAAAAAAAATCTTCCCAGAATTTTAAGCAAAATAAAAGAATTAGATAGCATAACGTAAAGTCGAACTTGGTATACGCAAGACTTATTTAGAGATTCTCTCTGTATAGTATCCACACTGGGGATGTAGAAGAACTCATTGTTCTTCAATGATTTAGTCAGCTATCATGAATGGGCCGAATTCGCTTTTCTAATTTTTTCCGGCTGCAAAACATGAAGTCAAGAATGCGTATCAAACTCTTACAATATACATAGAACGACAGATGAGGCAGTATGGGAACACTGGATTAAGGTTAGACCGATTGGTAAATCAAATGTTTACTGCAAAAGGTCGAGCCGTTTAATTGAGTGTTCCATATGATAGTGATATTTGAACACTAGGAACAGCTGTCACGCTTTTTCTGTCACTTATTTTCGGCTATAGGAATCACTCAGCACATGACAAAAAGATGCTCACGTAAATTGCGATTGCTAGTCTATGTAGTTTCTTGCAGTAAAGAGATTAAATGTAATCTCAGCGTGCTCCATAACACAACTTTTTTGTTTACAGAATGTTTATGGAAACTTGATTTGTTCCACTTTTCCGTAGGTTTTTGTATTCCCGAAGATCTTTGGTTAGATTTGGACATTTTCCTGTCGAGGAGGCAAAATTTATTCATATGTGTTGTCTTGAAACAATTATTACCATCAGATGCAACCTTTACTAGGATAGAGCATTCCGAGCGCTTGCGAAAAGTTCGCTATCTGGCATGAAATCGGAACGGGAGGACGAAAATTCGCATCGAATGGTAAATTGAATGTCTGTGGTTCGGCACCTGAAAAATTAAGCTGTTCAACGAAAAAGCCATTTATTTGGGTACGAACTCTCTTCTTTTCCGTGGTGTCTCTTTATGACCTTTTAATGGAGGCGAAAGATTGACTTACTTTCCGTCTCTCCACATGAAGAAGTTGTCACCTCGCTTTTCAATTTTGTATGTGTGATGTGTGAAGCAACTTCTGGAAATAAAAGATTCGCTATCAGTTTTTCTGTTGTGAAGATTTACTTGTGGTTTTGAGGAACTCTTGTGATTCTGTAAGCCGTAGCTGCCCCAGGACATAGCAGATTGCAGTATCGCCGTGGCTGACCATTAGCATCTTCCTTCAAAAGGTTTTATATTGTTGAGTCTCACTAACTTAGAAACTGCTTCCAAAATTGAGACTGTATCTCTAAACCTACATCAAAACAAGTGTTTGTGGGGACTTTTCTAGGATTTTGATCATTTTCGGTTTCTTTCAGCAGGAGTTCGCAATCGGAAGCATTTTTTGAGTCCTTGTCATCTTTGGTCTTGCATATCAGGTCACGCCATTCTGAAAGGAATGTGAAGTCGATGCACATAAAGTAAAATAAAGGTGATTGTACTCATGAGAGAAAAAATATTACTTACGCCAATGAACGCTTTCTGCTATAGCTCCCAGCACTAAACACAGAAGAAGTGTTGCACGTAGCATAGCAATTATTCGGTCGGAACAGCGACGCTTAAGTAATGCCCGAAGACGGATAAGTAGCGAAACACAGCGCCTTCATCCTGCAACTCGAAGGTCTTGTTCCAAGCGACCAACATAGAAACGAGATATGATAGCGGAGAAGTTATGACAGCGTGAACACAGCGTGAACAAACGAATGCAATACGCCGATAGTCCCCAAAGTCGTATGTTTGATCGACAATGACAAAACTGTCAAGGTTAATCTGAGAGATATGGAAGCAACATTTCCCTGTTTCGATCATTCCTTCAGGAAATGTAGCTGTAGAACACGAACCCATTGTGATTAATCTATCGTATTTATTTATTGTTTTTCTTGTTCGCTTGAAGCGCAAAGCTAATCTAACAAGAAAGGATGGTTGATCGAAGTGGCTTTCTGGGACCAAACATAGTACACCACCCTGAAGGGATTGAAACGCTGATTTACCATCTATTTTCCTTATCTGCGCAGCGTTCGTGCGCGGGAGTTCCGAACTTTATTGAAGCAAAAATCGATTGTGTAAGTAGAATAAAAATAGTTGCACCATTTTTCTTAGCTCTTGAATGAGCAGTTATAATTATCGGAAGACTTTATGCAATAAATACTTTCAAATAAATTATATGCACACTCCACTGCCTCGTTTAAGCGCTAGGAGAATTTTAGCAACTGATTTTATCATAAAAAATGATTCAATTTTTAATCCGTTCATAAGTCTCCGTCCATGAATGCTCCGCAGCAAAAAAAAAGACACAATTATAGGCTGCTGCATGATGGAGGCGCAATACCTTCGGGCACGAACGCGGCTTTATTAGCCGCAGAGCGCATGATGCGCAGGATTTACAACGGTGAGGATACGCGCGTCACGTTCGCGCTCGCTGAATTAACACTGCTTCTGCGCCTTCGTCATGCAGTAGCCTTTAGAATTAGCGTTTTGCGCCCTTCAAGATGGTATATGTTCCGACTCCAATGAAACTCCACTAGACATCCTTTCCTAGCTGTCAACAAGGTAATTTCGCCGTAGAGATTAACTACGGATGCAATTTCTAGTTAACATCAAGACCAATTCTTTAGTAAAAAAATGTATTATGCAAGTTAAAATTGGTTATTTATTGGGTGTTTCCTGGTTTTCACTTGATACTTCCAAATTTTAAAGTTCTTCCAAGGTTTAGAACATAAAAGCCTGCGTCTTTCAAAAGTGTTCCTGGATTACCACAGTGGTTTGCTCAACACTTATTCAAACAATGCAACTCTGAAAAAAATATTTTTGAGGTAGTGATTTGGTCTGATAGATACAAATTTTACACTTCAAAAAAAAAAAAGGACCAGGAAATTGTGCATTCTCAAAGACATGAATTCCTTATCACTCGTGTTTGAGAACCACCTTAATCCGATAATCTTTTCAAAAATCACATATTGAAGCACGCTTGCCGGGAGAATTCCCATTCCTTCTCCTCCTAAAGAGCTCGGAAGGTAAATTGTTCACTAAAATAAAATCACCAGCGTTAGAATATAAGCTGTAAATGTTATATTGTGCATATTTACTGTATACATGATCTATAATATTATAAATTAGAATGTCTTCTCTTTCATGACTCTAATCGCGCCAACACCATGCTTTTGCCAAAAACGACCATAAATTTTCGTTTCATTTCATATTTCGAGGAACTGGATCTTTTGTCAATTTTGCCTCAGCCAAAATGTCTCATGACCTCCCATGATTTCTGGACATCTGTGCATAAACTGCTATATTAAGACGGGGAAGTTCAATCACTTTTGAGTTTGACCCAATTTTCTGGTCTGTATTTATCTCGATGTAACCCTTCGAAAGTTCTCAATAAGTTGGTCTTTTTCTGAAGATGTTAATTATTACAAGGGAAGGATACTTGGTCGAAGTGGCCTTTCCATACGAAATATATACTACCAGTGCGACACCTCTGCTTCGCAGAGACTCGCACTGGCCCTACTATCTATTGCCTTACTCATTCTCGTAATATCGTGGTACTGAAACTCAACGCGCTAAGCCGACTACCGCGAATAAAATGCAAACAACTACTTATTTAGAAAGCTTTTTCACGTGAGATCGGTGATTTCGCGTGAATGAAACTTTTCGCAGGAAGACAAATGCAAGTTTCAATAAGTTTTTGAATTTGTCATTGCTTGATAGTCACCGTGTGCTACATCTCTGTGCGAAAATCTTCTCAAATGCTTGGCTAGAACCTTCGCAAATTGACCATTTACGCAACTACATAACGAAAACGGCGCCAATTCTTTTTGGCGCCGTTTTCGTTATGTAGTAAACTTTTGACCACTTTTTGGGCTAAAGTCCATCGTTTGCACATTTGCTAACCAAATACACCCACGACTTTGCAAAAAGTGGTGATACGGACCCAATTTTGCGGGACAGAAGCCAGGTGTATCCGTTTGGCGCGCAATTTCTGAGAGATCCACTCAACGAATCTACTCTTGCTTTTGCATGTTGGACCTTCATGAAGGGAGCAGGCGCTATGCAAAATTTGGGCTTAGAACACTCGCTGGAACACGCTCTACAAATTTCGTAACACACACACACACACACACACACACACACACACACACACACACACACACACACACACACACACACACACACACACACACACACACACACACACACACACACACACACACACACACACACACACACACACACACACACACACACACACACACACACACACACACACACACACACACACACACACACACACACACACACACACACACACACACACACACACACACACACACACACACACACACACACACACACACACACACACACACACACACACACACACACACACACACACACACACACACACACACACACACACACACACACACACACACACTCACACACACACTCACACACACACACACACACACACACACACACACACACACACACACACACACACACACACACACACACACACACCAAAAACACGTAAACAACGCTTAGCCCGTTATTATGAGGTCTTGATATTTTTTTACATCGACTACGAGTCTCAACATTTTCGAAAGCAAATGTGAGCAGTACGTATCCATATATCCCGATCAAGGTGGTGTTTTCCACTTCGTATTCCCTCAATCTGATTTTTTTTCCAGGTTTCTGGTTTTCAAAATACATGTACAATACCGATCATAATTCGTCAAAAAAGTCGCCGGAGTGCGGCGGAGTGTGGCGGAGTGCGGCGCACTTCACCACACTCCGCCGCACTCCGGCGCACTGCGCCACACTTCACCACACTCCGCCACACTCCGACGAGCGAGAGCGGTATTGTACCCTATTTTCAGGTGTATAAGCCGCACCTTTTCAAATTTTCGCCCGGGCTGCTCAGCCGCTTCATTGTGTTTCGAGAAGCGATCCTTATGCCGTACACTCTTTCAGGCCAATACACAGCACGGCGTAGGGTCCTTTGGTTGCGGGGTCCTTTGATGTATTCGGGCTGGTCGATCCTAGGACCACCTCGCGGCTTATACACCTGAAAATAGGGTAGTATTGTTACACATTGTAACAGATTCTCTTTCACTAGTGCTTTTTCCGTGCCGGCGCTGTTTCCTCCCTCATTCAAGTCTTTCTCTTTCTCTTTGTACAACCATTTTGAAGGATTAGGTAGCGTGCCACCCTAATGTCTCGGGCACCTCAACAACTTCGGTACTAGTTGGCCACCCTCCAAAACCGAACTCCCGCGAAGGGGCGGGGCTTGCCTTAGCACTGTAACCTAGAAAGCTTTTGGGGATAATGTAAGTTGTGGACAGGGTCAAGTGTGGGGTGTGGCACGCCACATCTGGAGGGTCGTATTGAGGAGTCGAAAAGGGAGGGGATCGTAGTTGGGTATTTTGATAATACTGATAACATGATATTCGTATCATATCCATAACGAGCATGTCAATTAACCCCTGTAGACAAAGTCTGAGTGAAGTCTGAAGATTCAAGATACTAGGCTACCTAAGTGAAATGGTCAAATTCCAACATGGTTAACTTTGTTTCAAAGGTGTAGCTATCCGTTTTTGCACTTAAGACAAAGCACCACTCCTTCTTTGTCCATCTTAGAAATCCCGCTTCAAAAAATCTCCAAACTGTGGAATTAGAAGCCAACCAAAATCTCATTTCTCCCATTTTTCGCATTGTGCTTTCACCAAATATTACTCAGAGCTAAGAAGACGAATCAGGCTTACAACACTCCCATGGAATATACGAGCTTTAAGCAATCGATTTCTATAAATACTGTTCGCTAAAAAGGTTTTTTTGATATAGTTAAAGGGCTTAAAAGCTGTGGCTGCCACAGCTAGGCGATTCCTATGCCTAGAGCGGGCATGGCCCTGCAGACTTTAAACACGTTGATAAACTTGTTGAGTCTCCATTTTAAAGCACTAGTTTTTTCACTCTCTAGCTGCCAGAAACTGCCACGCGCATACGTTGGCAAACGTTGGCAGGGCTCCCGCTATACTGTTGGGAAAGAACGATATATCTAGATATCGTCCCCTCCACAGATCGTGCTACCCTTGGTCTGCGTCTCAGACCTGCCACATGTGGCTAACATGTTGATTTTGGCCACGCCAACATGTTGATGCATGTTGCCAAAGTGTTGCTGCCAACGTTGCCAATGTGTTAGTTACACGTGGCGCGTCCGCGACGCCACAAGGGTAGCACGATCTGTGGAGGGGACGATATGTTAATTCAGGAGTTTCATCAGTGGAACTCAGACGTTTGATCGAGTCTGCCATTCTATCTTGCTTAATGACTGCTGACAATCTGAGTCCTACAGATTTTGGGTGTGAAGGTGTCTGATGTTGCCACTTCATAATATAGATGCTTTATCATGATATAATTTAGTCAGGCAGATTACAAACCACATCGTCGCAAAGCGCATCCTTGAAAAAGCACCTAACACATCGTTTTTGAAACTTCGAAATTTATCATCTTCACAACTCTATGAATTCGTGAGTGGCTTCGAAAATTTCCTTTTCAGCTTTCAAGGAGATATATGATATATAAGCCTTATGCCTCTTGGCTTAGTAGTGTGGGAAGGGAGAGGGGGTGGGGGAAGATAATTCACCACAAAACCTTCAATACCGCCCATTCAATGACCTAGACGGAGACCGCCATAGTTTATTAAGTTCAGTCTTTGAAGTTTTAAAACCGAACGGGTGCTAGCATAGCTGTCCTATTACATTCTTGAAGCATCTGTTTCTTAAGGCTCCAGGCATAGATACCTCAAAAAAGTTTGGTAGCGACGTGATTTACAATACCCGATTTGTGACTCATCGTAGGGGGACTCTGAATTTACAGAAAATAGGCCGTTTAATAGATATGCGAGAGTTGAACACACTATGCATTTGTAATCCGCATATATTGCATTTCGGCATTGGCAAACTGTCAGATTGCGTAGCGACTGAGATCGCTTGAAGTATGCTTGGGTAACGCTTTACTCGATAAGCAGGATTAGCCTAGATGCGATTTTTGCGTCAAACATCCCATAAGGGTGTTATATAGGCTAAGTCTGCCTCACAAGATCAAACTTGAAAAGTGAAACTGCTAGCCGAAAACCCGAGTGCCAACAGTAAGCAGCTGGTGTTGCCGAATCTATATATTTGAACTTGAACTTTGTTCGTTTAGTTGGTCCTTCCTTATAGAAACGCGCGCCACTGAACTGATCCTGCTGAAATTTTGCACACATGTGTTTTCGACCCCGGCGGTGGCCTAAGGCTACTTTTTGCATTCACTGGGTCCCATTGATTTATTGAGTTTTGGCATAAAATGAGTTCTCAACATTTGCTAACAAGGCTTTTCCATGATTTCACGTAAAGAAGTACAGCAGAGGGAGTTCATTCTATAACCAATGCGTCACCTCCGCTTCGCGGAAGTTCGCACTGGCTCCCTATCCATATGTCTTTCTCACGTTCGCATGAGAATGGCTTTGAAACTCACCACGCGATGCTGAGCATCACAAATGAATCGTAAACAACTGTTCATTCATGAAGCATTTCCATGTAAAATCGGTAATTTTAAGAAAAAAAACTTTGTTGCAAGGAAACAAATGCGAATTTGAACGGATTACTGAATTTATTTTAGTTTGATAATCGTCATAAGGATAATAATCACCTTGGGCTACATTT